CATATTTCAGAGATATAAGCGATTATGCTTCAAAAATTGAATATGATTTTTTGTTCCGAAATTTTTTTTTTCTTTCAAGAATTTTATTCAATTTTTCAGTTAATGGTGGAAAAGAGAACAAATGGGTCATCTTCTCTGAGCGACGAAGCTTTCGAGATTCCCCAAACAAACAAAAAAATTGATTGCATATATTGTTGTGGTCAACATTTCGCAGACAAAAAATTATATTATTAAATAATGGTTTATAAATCAAAATCAAAATTATGTAATTGAAATACATAGTTGTAATTATTTGTTAATTTTATAAATTTTTACAATTTTTGTTATCTAATCTTGTGGATAGGGTATTATGTACATGTTATTATAGGTAAGTATATAGTTAAAATGAATAATTACAATATTTGTGGATAAGTTATTTATAACAATTTCATAAACTATTATCATGTCCACAATAGCATGTCCACTTATTATATGTCAATTATTTTAATCCATCAATTTATGTTCACGCGCATTATTGTTTTTGATTTGTCCACGGAAAAGTTATCCACGCGCATGCTTGAAGGGGTATTTTTGTCACATTTTGTATCAAAAACAAAAAAAAACGTGTCTAGAAAAATAAAGTGTCCTCCTTGAAATAAAAAGATAAAAATGTCTTTGAGTGTAATCAACCCATATTTCTGAACTAGATCAAGAATTTTGATGACATTTTTAATCAAATGATTTTCTAGTTCTAAACTATAAAGTATATATTTCCAAAAAAATCGAGTTGTGATGGGACAAAGAAAGAATGAGACAAATACCAAACTACATTTTTGAAGAACAAAAACACTTATTCATTACATTATAAACCTTTGATATCATCAAAGGGTCAATAGGCAAGATCCATTAAGAACTCACACTTTGAGATCTCATTTCTTTTTTTGGATACGTCTTTGTCATTGTCCAAATCTCAACTCAACATTACCTGGTTTTGGACCTACTATCATTTAATTGGTTTCTCTTATTTTGTTTTATTCTTTCAACATTTTATATCTATGTTATGCTTTTTACAAAAACACGACAAAATTGGGATCCACTAACCAATAATTAAGATACGAAATCGTAGATCTAAATCATAACAAGGAAAGAAGAAAACTATTTTTTTACAAATTCTTATAATTCACGATAGAATAACTGGGACTTCTATCTCTTTCTACGTTAATGTTTCAACTATATCAATCTCTGAAATCATTAAAAGGATAGTAAATTAAGCTCCTATTTTGTTTGAACTCAAAGTAATGTAAGCTTACC